GCCATGTCCCGCTGCCAGGCTAGCTTAACTCCCAAAATAACCACACGGAAATTGTATTAATTAAATTGCTGCCTGGCCCATTAGCTCTAGCCTCTTATTGGCTAACTCTCACATCTTGATTCAACCCATTTCTAATAATCTGTATGTTACCACAAGCTCGTGGCTTACCAAGAAAGATTCAGCATGTCTGACCTGGCAGCTTCATGGTGGGCGGCTCTCTCTGCCTGCTGTCTTTCTCCCAGCATTCAGTTCTGTCTACTCCGCCCACCTAAGGGCTGCCCTATCAAAAGGCCAAGGCAGCTTCTTTATTCAACCAGTGAAATCAACACAAATACAGAAGGACCTCCTACACCAGAGTTGTATTTGAGTCATATTCCATCATATTGTGACTACCTTGGGACACAGTGCCCAGGACATAGGAAGTGCTTCATGGACGGTCACATGTACCATATTCGGCAGAGGTCTGGCTTCTACTCTAACCCTGGTTCCCCATGATCTACCCTTCACTCTTCTTTCCCTCAGGATACATCAGATTACCTCCGGCCAGTGGCCTTGACTGTGACTTTTACCTTGGACAACACCACAAAGCCAGGGCCTGTGCTGGATGAGGGATCGTCCACCTCTGTCCGAAAGCTGGTTGGTAGTGTCATGCCCTGCTCTGTCTGGGGTCCCAGTGCTACCCTCCCAGTGAACTTAAGAGAAGGCGAGGCCACACACAAATGGTGAAATCTTAGCCAGGCTCTGGTGATCAAAATATAGCCTCTCTTTACTTTCCCCCCAATTCCAGTCTGTTCTCTTTGCCTTCCGCTCCGTCCTCAGACCCCTAACTCTCTTCTAGGTCCCCTTCTCAAAAGACTGCGGCCCTGACAATGAATGTATCACAGACCTGGTACTTCAAGCAGACATGGACATCAGGGGCTCCAGGTCAGATGGACATGAGCTAGGGAAACCAAAAGGGAGTCGAGGGAGCTAGAGAGTTGTTGTTTTGAGACAGGTTCTCCCTATGTATCCCTGGCTGTCCTGGGAGCTTGCTCTGTAGACCAGGCTGGTCTTGACCTCACAGAGATCCACCTGCTTCTGCCTCCCAAGTGCTGGGATTAAAGGCCTGCGCCACTGTGTTGGAAGTGAGACCTTTGATTCTCTTTTGCCTCTTAGTCTTTCCTTTATCTCCCATTCTTAGGAAGTCCCCATTTGTGGTTCAAGGTGACCGACAGAAACTGCTGGTATCAGCAACCCTGGAGAACAAGAAGGAAAATGCCTACAACACTAGCCTGAGTCTCAGGTTCTCTAGAAACCTCCACCTGACCAGTCTTACTCCTCAGGTACCCCTGACGGAAGGGGCAGAGGTGAAGGGGAGGAGAAAGATGAGAATATGAGCGCTGGCTGTGGGGTGCTTGAAGAAAGACTCAGTGTTTAGCGTCTTAGTGGGTGGAAGAGCAGCCCTGGCCCCAGCTCTAACTTTCTCCTCATCCTTCTGCCTTCAGAGAGCCAAATCAGTGAAGGTGGAATGTACTGTCCCTTCCCCCCATGCCCGGGTGTGCATTGTGGGCCATCCAGTCTTCCAGGCGGGGGCCAAGGTGAGTGTGGGCCCACAATGAGAACAAAGTGCAGAGAAAGCGGGGTCTGGGGTCCATGGGCATGGAAGTTCTGGGGAGGAGGTAGGCGGGGGCTTGTTCTTCTGTGGTTTATCCACAAGGAAGAATTTATCATTATTCCATCCGCGTCCCTTATCCCCAGGTGACCTTTCTGTTAGAGTTTGAATTTAGCTGCACCTTCCTCCTGAGCCAGGCCTTGGTGAGGCTGACTGCGAGCAGGTGAGAAAACAGGAGCTGCCTCCAGCCCCCCTACCCCTCTCATGGGTCTTGATGGAAAGAACCCCCCCAATTCCTCTAGAAGTAGAGGGGGTCCCTGAGGAGGGACTGGAATGTCTCCCCCTTTGACCCTACAGCGATAGCCTGGAGAGAAATGAGACCCTTCAAGACAATACAGTTCAGACCTCCGCCTACATCCGATACGAGCCTCACCTCCTGTTCTCTAGGTATGGCTAGGCTCCCTACAGTCTTTGTATCCCCCCACCATCCTTCCTTGTCCTCTAGTCTTCCCAGGAGCACAAACTGTTAACCTTTGCTCTTAAGCACCTTACTTTCCTGGGCTTGTCAGGCCCTGATAAAGAGATATGGGGATACGATCGCATGATTTTTTTTTATCAAGTTTTTGTTACATTCAGTTACCTTCTTCGTCATGCATCCCTATCTCATTATCCATGAGCTGACCCTGCCTTCCCCGAATCCATGTCTGTATGCCGATCATGTGACCTGTGCCACTGTCATGGCCACACCTCTTGGTTTGGTGTCCACACAGTGAGTCCACCCTACATCGATACGAGGTTCACCCTTACAGGACTCTCCCAGTGGGTCCTGGCCCTGAATTCAAAACCACTCTAAGGGTGAGCAGCTTGGGGGGGAGGATGGCATGCTGGTGGGGGTTGGTGCGCTAGGGGTGCGGATGCAGACCAGCAATAGCTGTGTGGGGAAAGGATGAGAAGAGTCGTCCTGGAGTGGCTGAGGGGAAGAGATGCAGCGGGTCCCTTGTCCTTGCCTCTCTTTCTTCTCCCAGGTTCAGAACCTTGGCTGTCATGTGGTCAGTGGCCTCATCATCTCAGCCCTCCTTCCAGCTGTGGCCCACGGGGGCAGTTACTTCCTGTCACTGTCTCAAGTCATCGCCAGCAATGTGAGTCTGGGCTAGAGCACACGGAACCCTGCCATCTTGAACCAGCGGACTCCTCCTGCAGGCCCACTGCTCTCAGCTCCTCTTCCTGGGACCCTTCTTTTCCCAGCAGCTTGGGAGGAAGGAAAGAGATTGTGCATAGCAGGGGTCTAGGACGGGCTGGTTTGGGAGCCTTTCCAGTTGAATCTTCCTTTAGGCAAGCTGCACAGTGCAGAATCTGACTGAGCCCCCAGGACCCCCTGTGCACCCAGAGGAGCTTCAGCACACAAACAGACTGGTAGGAGTCCCTGGAAGGTGTCGGGGCAGGAATGCATATAGAGATTGGTGTCTGGTGAAAGGTGGGTGGGAGTGGAGAAGGGAAGGGGGAGTGCTCCCTCCAGGGTCCTGATTTGTCTCTCTTCGGATAGAATGGGAATAACACTCGGTGTCAGGTGGTGAGGTGCCACCTTGGACAGCTGGCAAAGGGGACTGAGATCTCTGTTGGACTGCTGAGGCTAGTTCACAACGAATTCTTCCGGAGGGTAAATCTTTTCTTTTCATCTATTCTGCTTCTATCAGAAACATTAACCAGGAGGTGACAAGACTCCTGTTTAAGTTTACCTCCCTCTGTTTGACCATAAGCAAGTGATTTCATTTTCATAATCTTTCTTCCTGATTTTTTTGTTTGTTTGTGGTTTGGTTTTTTGTTTGTTTGTTTGTTAGAGACAGGGTTTCTCTGTGTAGCCCTGGCTGTCCTAGAACTCACTCTGTAGACCAGGCTGGCTTCAAACTCACAGAAATCCAGCTTCCTCTGCCTCTCAAACTCTGGGATGAAAGGCATGAGCCAACATGCCCAGCTTTTACCTGGTTAAAATGAGAATGATTGTACCTAGCTTGTGGAATTGATATAGGGAGGTAATGAGGTGGACCTATGGCAAGCCCTCGATAGAGCAGAGCAACCACTCTTGTATTTTCCTCTACTTAGCAGCCCTTAACTGCATCGTAAGAGTCAATTAATAAAATTCCCACATCTAATCACTAATTCGTCAGGCTAGTGTGGTGATGTACATCCTTAATCTCAGCACTCAAGAGGTAGAGGCAGGTGGATCTTTATGAATTCAAAGTTCATGGCTAGCCTGGGCTATATAGCAAGCCCCACACCAGCCAGCCACTCTCATGAGCACATGTGCGCACGCACGCGTACACACACACACACGAGCACATACACGTGCACGTACCCATTCACATTCCGTCAAGTGCCTGTTACAGGAATAATTCTGTGTAAGTCATCAGTGGGGAGTCTAAGACCTATCATGTATCATGTCTAATTCAGTGCAGGTGTTTAATACTTTTTTGTTAAACAAATGAATACGATATTTGATATTATTTGCAGTAAAGTAAAATTGCATACTCGAGTGGGATTTAGATTATGAAAGTCTCTGAAGCTAGGGAGATGAAATTGAATTTACTATGATGGTCGGCACTCAGAAGTCAGTGGGAGCAGGGAACTAGCACCTTAATGGTAAATGGCTATTTAGCACTAGGTGTTTATATTGTTTAATAATACATGTAACAACCACCTTCAATATTGCAAGATCTCTGGGTAATAAGCATAAGCCTTAGGTGAGCTAAGACGAATCATTCCTCTCCACATCTGGTACTCTCTCTAGCTTTCTTGGTCATCTTGTCAGATTCAGGGGTGTGTGTGTGTGTGTGTGTGTGTGTGTGTGTGTGCGCACATGTGTACAGGTGTGCTCATGTGTGTGTATATGCACACGTGTGTACAGGTGTGTTCGTGTGTGTGTGTCCGAGACTGAGGATGGTATTAGCAGCCTCTGGAATATGGTGTAAGCATTCTACCATTGACCACCCCCAGACATTTTTATTATTTTAAATTTTTTTCAAGATTTATTTTATGTGCACACATGTATGTCTATATGTAAGTGTGTGCACTTGTGAGTGCTCACAGGGAACAGAAGAAGCCATTGGGTACCCTGAAGCCAGAGTTACAGTAATCTGGGTGCTGGGACTGAACTCTGGTCTTCTTCAAGAGCAGCAAACTCTTACTGGCTAACCCATCTCTCCATCCCCCACCCCCAGGGTTTCAGTGAGTCTCTGCAGTTAGTCTTGACCTGATTCAGTCTCCTGAGTGCAGGGGTTAAAGGTGTATACCACCGTAGCTAGCTTAATGACTTCCATAGCAAACCTTTGTTAAGAAGCCACTAGGGGTTTGGGGGTGACTCAGTAGATAAAGCATGAAGATGAGTTCAGACCCCAGGACTCATACAAAAAGCTGGATGCAGTGACATGTGCTTGTAATCCCAATGATGGGGACATAGGAGGGTGATTCAGGTGCCCCCTAGTCTCACCTACTTGACAATGTTAAAAAAGAAACAAACAAGCAAGCAAACATACACACACACACACACACACACACACACACACACACACACACACCTGCAGACCTTGTTGGCAGAGGTAAGTTTATCTCTGTGAGTTCAGGTCCAGCCTGATCTACAGAATGAGTTCAAGGCAAGCCTGGTGTAGACAGTAAGAACCTGTCTTTTAAAAAAAGAATGTCAAGCCAATGAGAGGCCCTGTCTCAAATAAAAGGACAAATGTATAAGGGTACTGAAGAATAACACCCAAGAGTGTTGTCTTGACCCCATACCTATACATATACATGCACACACACACACACACACACACACACATTTGTCATAGACACTGGAGCACAAGGGCTGATCAGACATGGTCCTTACCCTCAGGGATCTCATAGACCAGTGGACAAAATGTAAACAGTAGGTGTTCTAGGTTCAGGGGCCAACACTCTTCTCAGCCCTGCCCTTGTAAGGGTCTCTGTTGAGTCCTATGGTGGGGACTTGCAGGTATCCATTCTCGCTTGCTCTTCTTTCAAAGCCATCAGGATTCAGTCACAAGGTTCCACTAAAACAGTTTCGCCCCAAGCACTTCCCAAAGACCCACTACTAAACACAACAGTTGGGTAAAGCTTCTCCCTCTTAATATCTTGTAGCAGGCACCAAGACTTGACACCTGAAGGCTGAAGGACACTCAACCCATGCTTAGATCCTAGTGCCAGGGTTGGTGGGATTTGGTAGGAAGCATGGAGAGGGAGATGGATGCCCTTGTAAACTGTATTTTCAGAGCAGGGTTTCTGTCTGCTGCCCTTCCTCTTTTCCCCATCAACTTCTAACATCTTCTGCTCTTCAGGACCTGATAACTGGGCCACTGAGCTTCAGCTTCGCCCTTGGAGTTCCACACCTCCAGGCGATGGCTCGGTTTCAATGTTTCCCATCTGCTTGATCCACAGGCCAAGTTCAAGTCTCTGACGGTGGTCAGCACCTTCAAGTTAAGAACCGATAAGGGCAGTGTCCTACAGCTGATGGAAGCTCCCTCCTGGAGTGAGGTAGGAGCCCTGGAAACAGGCTGTGGGAAGATGAAAGGGTGACCTCTTTCTTTTCTCAGTTTAGTTTTTAACATCTCCTGTGTATCAGCATTTTGCGGCCTCTGGAACATGATGTAAGCATTCCTACCACTGACCGCCCCCAGGCGTTTTTATCATTTTAATCTAATTCACTGTGCATCCGTGAGAATACCATGTGAGTGGAGGTCCGAAGAAGGCATGGATTCCCTCAAAGGGAGATGGTTCTGAGCCGCAGCGTGGATACTGGGAACCAAACCCAGGTCCTTTGCAAAGGCAGCAAGTGCTTTTAACCACCAAGCCATCTCTTCAGTCTCACCATGGACTTTTCCAGAGCGGGACCATAGCCACTAGGCCGCAGACCACCAGTCAGAAATGGCACTTCCACGGCCATGCTTCTTGCTTCGGTGTTTTTAAGTATAGAGGTCTCTGTTGTTTCGTTCTCTCTTTGCGGGTGGCTTTGTTACAATGTTGAGTGAGCGAGCCGAGTTAAGGGACACTTAGAAAACACAAGTCAGGTATAGTGATGCTTGCCTGTAACTCTAGCGCTGAGAGAGCAGGCTGAGAGAGGAAGATTGCCATGAGTTTGGAAGGGCAGTCTGGGACACACCGCGAAACTCTGCCTCAAAAACAAACAAACAAACAAGCAAACCCACAGAAACCGGTTGGTCTCAAAGGCAGAGCGTGGCAAATCAAACCAAAACAAACTCTCCTTGATCTGCAGAGCCTCTTGGAGGTGATTCAGAGCCCCACCGCCCCCATCTCCCTGTGGATCCTTGTGGGCAGCATCCTGGGAGGGTTGCTCCTGCTTGCTCTCCTTGTCTTCTGCCTGTGGAAGGTGAGCCCAGCTTTTGTGGGCGGTGGGAGCATCGTGCCCACAGTCTGAAGCATCTTACTCTGCCAAGAAGGGCAGGCTCCATGTTAGGCAGTTAAACACGTGGGGGGAGGGGGCGGGGGCGGTCCTGTGTAGATCTCCTTCACTTTATTCCACAATTGTTGCTTGAGTCAAACTAAGCCAAAGAAAATAAATTTGAATCCCATTTCTGGGAGCAGAACAGACGCGAAGCCCTCAGATAAGCTGCAGGGCTCTTAGCAAGGCCCCCAGTCAGGGCATCTGGCAGTGACTTGAATGTTCCCCTCTGTAGCTTGGTTTCTTTGCCCGTAAGAAAATCCCCAAGGAAGAACCCACTGATGAGAAGCTGGAGCAGTGACTGCAGAAGGGTCAGAACGTCCTCCTTGGCAGCCTTTGCAAAAAACGAGGCTTGGAGGCACAGAGGGGAAAGGATGCTTCTGGAATATGTCTCCAGACCTGCAGCCTGACTTGACTTTTGAGCCATGGGTATGCTGCTGGCAAGAGATGAGGCTTTGCCTCAGACACGAAGGGCTGGCACCAAAACACATAGTGTCCCCACCCTGTGCTTTCCTCCTGGCCCTGACGGGGTTCCACAGTCAACATTGGGTCTTCGTTTGGTACCCTATCTTCTCCCATCACAAGGGGGTCGAAGGATTTTTTTCCTGACACCTTCAGATGCCATTTGTCCTCCCTTGCAATTCCGAAAAGGTTCTCCTCCACACCCCCACACCCCCCACACCCTCTCACCTTCCTGCCTGCTCCCCACTCCGCAGGAGAGAGCTGACGTTGACTTAAAAGAAGTAAAGTCAACATCTGCGGCTCTCCTGTGGAGTCTAGTGATTCATAGAGCCGGACGGGGAGAGTCAACAGGAAAAGAGGGAGGAGAAAAAGCCACAAGAGACATTCTGTACAATTCCAAGGCACAGAGAAGCGTTCAGACAGGCAACCGCCAGCTCTCCTGAAACCTGAGACCTCATGGGACGCCCGCCCTCAGGTGCCGGGGAAACCCAGCTTGCCCCCGGGCTCTCTGAGCTTCAGCCTCCCAACCCTCGTCTTTCTTTAGGAGCAAAGCCAGGACCTGGCCCTGAGTTTTCTGGAACCAGGTTCCCCCTGGTGGCTCAAATTGGAATAGCAGGGAGCTCATTGGCAGCATTCCCCTCTTTGCGGCTTCCTTAGAGAAAGCGGCTTGATGGTGGGAAGCCCTTTTGCCACACCAGTTTGGGAAATAGCAGCCGCTGCGAGATCCAAACGAAGGGGATCTGCATCAAGAAACCTAAGTGGTTGGCATGAGACCTCGGGGGAGTAAGCCCTTTCTTGTCCAGCATCAGCTGGCTTTATAGCAGCAGTACTGTCTCCCTGGAAGATCTTTCTGGGACTCGTGTCGTGTGTCGTGGCGTGCGTGGGTTTCTCTGCTGGAGTGAGTTTTCAGCCTTATTTGATGTTTACTGGAAAACTCAAGTTAACTCTGAATTCCCTCCCTCTTGTCCAATGTTTTGGTTCATGGGCGACTGGAATTCTCATAGTAACCAGGAAACTTGTTTTTTATTGTAAGACTTTGAACGGCAAAGTCAATTGCGGGTCGCCAGAGTTCAGCTCTGATGGACCGATACCCTCAGTCGGAGAAGAGAGGAGATCTGATTGGGCCCCTGCCACAGAACCTGTCTTCCCAGGCTGTTCTCCAGGCCTGTCTGCGGTATTTATTTTGGTGTCTCTGGTCTTCGGCAGAGCCGCCCTCTGTGGGTATTGTCGTTTCTACCACGGTGATCAGATGGTCAGAACAAATAAAATCCAGTATCAAGTGACTTCTGGCGCTGTTTGTGTTTCCTAGGATATAGACTGCTCAGAAACGGAAGCACGCGAATGTTTTCTGTGGCTCTTCCGCAGGCGATCTGCTCTGTGCCCTGCAATTCTCACCTAGGAATGGGGGGGGGGGGGGC